TAGAGGGGAGGGGGAGGGGTGGTAAAGGACTATTCGCAGCAAAAAGAAAAATTAAATGCAGGTGACATAGAAATGTAACGAAGGTGGGCATGAATGTAATTTCTATCCCTTTTTGATAAATATTACTTGATTTGAATCAAAACCTAAAGACAAATCAAAGAATGGAAGAAGTTCAGGAGTAATATATATAAACATTGCATTCTGCTCTACAAAAGTGTCTCAGGTGTGATAAAGAGTATGTCGATGTCACAGTGTTGTTCATGATAACTCAATAAGTATAATGTGACCGCGATTTGCATTCCTAAGAGCTTGGCACCTGGTTGACATCGATCTCCTTACACACCTGTTGATTGGGGCCATATTCACTAAAAGTGTCCCAAATCTTAATGATGGTTTGCTGCAGCTGGGGTGCTTTTAATCGGTCTTTATTGAACAAGGTTCAGCTCCCTATGGGAGTGGTCCCAGAAATGTTCACGTGGGTTGAGGTCTGGGCTCACTGTCCGACATGGCAGCCCTCTGGCTCTGTTCTGCTGCAGGAAGGCTGCTGCAACTCTAACAGTGTGTGTGTGGGGGGGGGGGTGTTTTCCTGCTGCTAAGTGAGGTAGGGGTGTTGGAAATGGCGAGAACCATCGGCGTGAGCGCTATGTGAATGTACAGCTAAACAAGGATGCCATTACTTCGACCAGGGCCAATGAATCTGGAATACGACAGGTCCCAAAGGTTGGTTGAGGCGGATAGCAGCATAAACCATGATGCACAGACCCCCAAGCGTCGACCTCCAAGACATTTTTCTATCAGAAAATCGATAGTTGCGCCTGCTCCAGATTCGAACTCTACCATCTGCTCCGCTGACGCAAAATCGGCTTTCTTCACGGAACAGGACATTCCTCAACCGTCGCCACATCCAGATAAGGGGATGTTAAACCCCCGGAAACACTGTAATCTGCGCCTTGGAGTGGTTGGAATCTTAGTTAGCAGTTGGCCTTCTCGCAGTCGGCGGCCTACTTTTTGACCTGAAATGACTTTGATGGCTGTCATCGGTGGTTCTAGCCGCTCCAGGGGCGCATCTGCAGCTATCAGTCTGGTGATTACAGAGAATGGCATGGTCTTGTGTTCAGTTTTATTGTTGTTCTTGTTGTCGTTCTTGTTTTCGTTGTATCCCTTTGTTCAGTCATTTCGGGAGTGATTATAATAGTGTTACTGGAAATACTGTATTACCGTTTCAATATGAATGTGGTTGTGGTGGTTCATAATTTGTGCTGGTGATGTTCGTTTTTTCAGTGTGTGTGTATGTGTGTGTGTGTGTGTGTGTGTGTGTGTGTGTGTA